GTTGTTGTATTTGTTACCAATTTTTTTCAAAACCGATTTATCTCGCAAACCGTTCATTTTTTCGAAATAAATAAAGAGTACCATTTTTAAAGAAAAACCTTCAGAGTATCTAATAATAATATTTTCAGTTTGATAAAATTACTTCTGTCAAAATTTTGAGAAAAATTGTGATAGGGCCAGTCCGTTTCTGGACACCTGATAATAGCAAAAAGTTGATTTTAGCATCAAATCGTAGAGCTCCATGTGTAATACAACGTACGAAAATTTTATTAAAATATACAGGGTGGTTTCAAAGTTATAACCCTAAACGTTAATTTCTAGGTACCCCTTTGACCCCCCATAACTCCGTTAGGGGGCACATTAGGAAAAAAAAATATAGGAAGGACTAGTTTTATTTTGACCTCCCCTATACACTCCCGAGAGATTAGGAGGTACTTACCGGACACCCTGTATAGTTGTATAACAAAATGCACTTTAATTGTAAGATATATACTAATGTTATTTTCACATTCGTAATTTTGTATTGGTTTAAATTTTATGTAGACGAAAGAACAACCTAAGCTTTAATACTATTTCAGTGATTGTATTTGCTTGGATTTTTGTACATTTTCATATTGATGTTGAATTTTAAAGTAATTGGTTAGTTTATGAAAATATTATACGAATTTTTTTATAACAGATATATTTAGATCATTTAAAAATTTATTTCTATCAACGTCAATGTCCTGATTTCTTAAAAAAGGATTTTGACGGTTTCATGATGAAAGCTCAGGAAAGAATCTTCAAAAACCTAATGCCTCTATTCCTAAAAATAGTGATTTCAAACGACGACATTGTTGGTTATCCCGTAACTAACAGCAAAATCAGAAAAAGTTTAAAAAGCTGAGTAAATAAACCCGCACGCCAAGAGGATTAGTCAGAAACTGTTTCTATTAATTTATTTTTGCCTATCCAGATTCACACGTCTAAAAGTATTTTAAAACTAGAAAATTATACAATCGTCAAGATAAATATTTCTCTTACTTCGAACGATTCGCCGATAGAATTGATTTTCATTCTTTCCCGTAAGTCCGCCCATAAAAACGGTTTAGTTTAAATTAGTTTGAAATTCATTGCACCACTTGCCACGAATATATCTTTCCGTAACGCTAGAATAATAAAAACCTTTATTTGTTAGCGATACTATTTTATTATTGTTTATTTGTAGAGCTGCACCACGACCTAGATTTGCTCTTGATATTTTATAGAAAATTTTTACTTTACTTTGAAGGTAATGTGTTAAAATTTGTTTGTCAATAAAGTTAGCGTATTATACGTTTTTTTTCCATTGTGCCTGTTATTTGTGCCAGCAATTTTATCATACAGTTCAATTTTTTGTTTGCAGAAGGATGTGGATGGTGTGGAAAATCCGTCGATGAAAACACCGGCTTGACATCGGGTTCTGCCACATTTTGTTCCGAAATGTGTTTCTCTCAATCCAGAAGAGCAACGTTTAAGAAGAATAAAACTTGTGATTGGTGCAGACACGTGAGGCATACGGTGTCCTACGTCGACTTTCAGGTTAGTATATTTTATAAAACAGACCACAATTGTTATACCAAAAAATCAACGGTTTTTATGTATGCTAAACAGATTTTGTCACCCATATTTTTTTTTCTAAAGATTCGATTAAAATGTGTAACACGCATGTCATCATTTTATGCAAAAAAGTACGCAATACAAACATTTCTTTAGTAACGGTAAAGACAAACTGCAAAATTACAGAACTCTTTTTAATGAAAAATGCGTTGACTGAATATTTCAATCAACGAAAATTGCGTTGATTCGTTGATTGAAATATTCTCTACAATACTTCAGTCAACGAAAATTGCTACTTTCCAGAATTCCTTTTCTATTACAGGGAAGTTATTCTCCTCTTTGTCTCTGTCAAATCAGTACGTCATTGTTTTCTATTTCGTAGAATTCCAGTGAGACATGAAAAACAATAGAAATTTTGCTATGTTTGGCTTTATTTTCTAAATATATTTATGTAACGTTTTATATGGAATTTTACCAAAGGAAACGATCTTATTGTTAGGGATTAAGTTCGTAAGTCAAAATACAATTTTACAAGTTAAATTAGATGATGAATCGTGTTTGTTTGCGATACTTTTATTTTATGGTGGTGTTATACAGGAAGTCCCGAATTGCATAAGCCAATATAAGAAAAACAGTTCATAAATCATAATACAGGGTGTTTCTGAATAACGTGCTAATATTTAAGGAGATTATTCTTGGATCCATTTTAAGAAAAAAACTTCATATGAACATATGTCTAAAAGTCTTAACTTTTGAACTACAGGGTGCTAAAGTTTTATGAAAAAACATTTTTTTATGATAACTTTGGTATTACTCTAGATATTTTTTCAAATTTGGTACACGCCTTCTATTTTTGAAGAAAAATATGTTACGTCAGGGTAATTTTCTTTTACCATTCCAAAATGTATATAGATTACTGTAATTTCATAATTTCAACGTTTAAAAGTTATTATCTTAAATAAATTATTGTTCAAAGTTACATAAATTTTTTTTTTCTCGTAAGTGGTCCAATAAGATGCAAAAGAATGAATTTTATTTTTTTATGCGAAAACCGTCCGTTAAACTAAAAAAATTCAAGACATCACATTTGCTCAGAAAGGAATGAGGATTTCAAAAATAATTTTTAATTTAAGAAAAAGCAGTGAAGTAACATATTTTTCTTCAAAAATGTTCAGTACAAAACCTGTACAGACGCCACTGGCAAAAATAATAAAATTGTTTGTACATCAGAAAATGTATCTCGATGAATAGAAGGCGTGTACCAAATTTGAAAAAATATCTAGGGTAGGTAACACAAAAGTTATCATAAAAAAATGTTTTTTCATAAAACTTTAGCACCCTGTAGTTCAAAAGTTAAGACTTTTAGGACATATGTTTATATGAAATTTTTCTTAAAATGGACCCCAGAATAACCTCCTTAAATATTAGCACGTTATTAAGAAATACCCTGTATAAACAAGAATTTTAGAACGCTTGTTTTCGGGGTAGTGTTGAAATAAAAAAAATATTAATTAAACTTGGGTAATTAATCAATCAGTCAACCAGTGACGGAGATACTGGAAAATACCGTTTAGAGACCTACAATTTCGACGCCACTGAATAACTTGGAAATCGAATAAGTGCATTTATAATAATTTCTGTTAGTGTTTCTGAGAAAAAAATATGTCCTTCGCTTTATTCAAAATACGAGCCATTTTTGTTTTTTTTTTTAATTTAAAATACGTCTTAGAATAAGACCAAAGTAACACCAAAAGTAGATAATCATTTCACTGAAAAATAATAGCAATTTTTTTAGATATATAATTTCAAACGTAATATTTTATCAGAAGCAACAAAAATCATTGGCATAATGATTTCAGTATTCGGAGTCGCTGAAGCCACGGCTCTCCACGCTATTGCGAATGACGCTAGAGACTACAGTTGTCCAGCTATGTAGTGGTTGAATGTACTATAACTTCAATAATTTTTTCTCGGAAACTATAAGGATTTTACAATTTTTTTTTTTATGATATTGACTCCATTTCTCATGCCGCATCTATTCCCAAATTTTTCTGGATAAGTTGTGAATCACTGTATTTAAAATTAAATTATTAACAAAACATTGTCATAATTTTCTTTTGTGAAATGCATAGTTTTGTATTCATCTATGTCGAAGGCATATTTTAAATTAAAAAAAAAATAATTATTTGCAAATGATTTATTTTTGGAATAAAACACGAAATATATTTCTTTTCTTATAAATACCAAAAGGAATTTTTCCAATTTCCCAAATATTCACCAGCGTCGAAGTTCTGGGGTTCTTTATGACTGTATATCCCAGCATCTCCGTCACTGGTTGACATATCTGTGTATCAATTTTTATCCATAATTGGTTTAGTTTATTACTTCAAGTTTTATTAATCTTGCATTGTATTCTTTTACTTAAACAAAACATTGAACTTCAGATTGAAGCAAACGTTTTATTGCTTCCAGGACGGCGCGTCTCAGCTCCAGTTCTGCTCCGACAAATGTCTGAATCAGTACAAAATGCACATCTTCTGCCGAGAGACCAGGGCCCACCTGGAGCTGCACCCCCACATGCACGCAGAAGAATCCGCAAGCGTCACCCTGATAACCCCCGACTTGTGGATGAAAAACTGCAAATCTCCCGAACTACGAACACCCTCGCCCGCCATATCGCCGAAACCCCCAGAGAAACCACCCCAGACCTCGCCCCTGCCACTCATCTCCGTCACGCACCCCTCCAAGCTGATGTCCCTCTCCGAGTCACCGGAGAGCAAGAGGCATCGGTTGAAAGTCCAGAAAAAGACGAGGAAACGGTTACCCTCCACCATCACCTGTAACAGCTTCCCCAAAGCGCCCCCGAACGACGCGCCTCAAGACCTTAGAGTGAGGCACACCCCCACGGATTTCGAGAAGAGGATTAGCGTTGAAGAACCACCGAAAACTCTTCCTAAGGAAAAGTGCCTGGAACCCCAGTTCAGGCCAAACGAAAGACTACCAAATCCACAGTATTTCAGTCCCAATCAACAACCTCCACCAACCCTCCACCCTTTGCGAAAACAACTGGATGCCATTCTTCCTCCACCTACCATCATCGTTCCGTATCCCATCATCTTACCGCTGCCCATACCCATACCAATTCCCATTCCAATTCCGAACCTGCTGAAGAAGGAAAACGCGGTTAAGGAGATTGAGAGGAAAGACATGGGTGTACAGACTGACGAGTCCCGAGAGGAAGTGGGGAAGGATTCTATAAGCAATGAAGTCGTAGACGTGGTGGGTTTTGATGGGAAGGAGGAAGAAGAGGAAGAGGGGATGAAGAAAGTAGGCAGGCCGTTGAGGAAGAGGAAGAGGTGCGAGCCCAAAGCAAGGGTTATAATCAAGACGAGGAAGGTCATATCAGCTTCTTCAAACTGAGGACTGGTTGCAGGACCTTCTATAGAAATTTGTCACTATTTATTTTTTTTATTGTGATTTTTGTATCGTTTTGTTATTTCTATGTACATACTTGGTACTTCATTCGACATTTGTGATTTAATAAAAACTTAAGAGGCTCTAGGGGTTTTATTGAACGGCGAGAACGATAAGGAAATCTGGCGATGACGCAGGATTGCTGGAATTCATAAACATTTTCTTGGAATTAAAACACATTTAGTTAATGGTGGCCGATAAGGGTATCGAAGTAATTCAATTAACAATGAGGTATCGCATGCAGCGATTGTAAATATTGCTTTTCATTCCATTAAAGAAAAAAAAAATGAGATAAGCTTCGGGAAAAAAATTGCATCAGCAGCATGAACGGAATTGAAAAATTCAATAAGTTTAGCTAGAAATAATATTTGTTGGAAAAGTAAATCCTGAGAAGCAACATTTTTCTTCGGTATAAATCAAGAGAAAGTTAAATAAATACTTTAGTTAAAATAAATATACACACAGGGTGTGACGTTTATAGAGGATAAAAATTAAATAGGTATATTTTCCTAAGAATATATGCAATAAAAGAAGACCTACATCAAAAATGTATCCTACTCGTTTCATAAAGAAAATTAATATTCGGTTGAACAGTAACCCCCGGGGCACCCTCCCCGATGACATAAAAAACTTAATACGTGACAGACGACGTGCGAAACGGCTTGCCACCCGCACCCGCCTCCCCCGACACAGACATGACTTAAACGTACTTAACAGACGGGTGAAGGCGGCTCTGGATGAACTGGCCCAGGATAACTGGGCTAGGCACCTGGAGTCGCTGGATCCACAAGACAACAGCCTCTGGAAAACGCAGAGGGCCCTGCGACAGACCGCTCGCCGTAAAATTCCTCCAATCCACGGTAGTGTGGGGGTGGTTTACACGAACCAGGAAAAGGCCGAGGCTTTCGCCGATAGCCTGGAACTGCAGTGTAGACTGCCTCAGCTGCCCGACGAAGACGAGGAATTCGAGATAGTGGCTGAGCGCGCGGCCCGACGCGTCGACAGAGAGCCAGACAATGACATAATCCCCCCCGCAACACCTGACGAACTAAGACTGACAATACGCAGACTTAAAAACAGAAAAGCCCCCGGACCCGACAATATACATAACACGACACTTAAACGACTACCACACAAGGGCCTCATGGCCCTACTAAACATAACAAACGCGACACTCAGACTAAGACACTTCCCTACCCGCTGGAAAACAGCAAACATAATCCTTATCCCAAAACCCAACAAAGATCACACCATCCCATCCAACTACCGGCCCATTAGCCTGCTCCCGGCTATGAGCAAAGTGGTAGAAAAAATTATCCTAACCCGTCTAAGAACCCACTCCCAAGAACTGCAAGTCATTCCAGACGAGCAGTTCGCCTTCCGACCCAATCACTCCACTGAACTCCAAATCCTTCGCCTTACCGAGCACATCACGGCGGCCTTCAACAGGGGACAGTACACTGGTGCTGTCTTCCTGGACGTCGCAAAGGCCTTCGATACGGTTTGGCATGAAGGCCTACTGATGAAAATGCTCACCAACCAATATCCCATATCCTTTACCAAACTCATAAAATCCTACCTACACCACCGAAAATTCCGCATCCAAATCCAAGATTCCCTTTCCACCACCCGTCCCATGGAGGCCGGTGTCCCCCAGGGCACCGTCCTGTCCC